AAAAAATTGATTATTTATGAAAATATTTCAACTATAGCTAAGAAATTTATTAAAAATTTGTAAATAATTGAATTACTGTGAAATTTATATATTATTTAGGAAAGCAATTACATAATGTTTTAAAAATAATTGAATTCCTGATAAGAGTTTCATTAATTTAGAAAATAATTGAATTCGTTGGAGAAATGTTATTAAAATTGTATTAAAGAATTGTATTAAATTAAAGATTAAATTAAAGAATATTATTGAAATATTTAAATAATTGATTTCTTTGAATAAAATTCCTTTAATTTATTTCACATAATTGAATAACTGTGAAAATTTTATTATTCTTATCATTTAAATTTTCACTTTGAATTTTTTTATTTATAAATAATTGAATATTCTTTTGAGAAATTTTATTAAAATATATAAATTTGTATATCTAAATAAATAAATAAAATAATAGACATTGAAAATATTTGAATTTCATTATTTGTGAAAATAACTGAATTCTCGCAACAGATTTTCGAAAAATTGTTGAAATAATTGAATTGTGTCAAAGAATTTTATAAAAAATTTTCTAATAGTTTCTAAGAAGAATTCTATTAAAATTTTCAAGAATAATTTTTTTTTCCAACTATTAACGAATTTAAACTCGTAAAAATTCTCAAAAATTGGAAAAAGTAGCTTTTAGTGTCACAAATTTAAAAAAAAGTATCCAAATAGCAGTTAATCGTGAAGAAAAAAGTAGTAAATAGTAGTCAATCGTGAAAAAAGGAGTAAATTGTAGTTAATTGTAGAAAAAGTAGTGAATAGTAGGTTTTAGTAGATGAGTGCGAACCTATTAATTAAAAAAATTGTTAAGAGTTTAAAAAAATTTATTTTTAAAAAAAATGAAACCTTTGAATAAAAGGAAAAATATATCATTGACAAAAAGATATTAGCAGTTATTAACTACTAATTAAAAAAGCCTTTTAATGGCCATACCCCAAGGGAAAGATAAAGTTGAGGTTCATGGCGCAATTCCAATGAACTAGAGGTACCGAGGGTGATAAGAGTGTAGTATGATAGTTTCTGATGCTCGTTTAATAATAATGATATATAGTCGAGGCCTCCGGTTAGAGCGGAGCATGTAGTCCTAACATTTTCTCAAGGGAAATCTTGAAGAAAATTAGTGGCCAAGTGGGACGTAGTTGGGAAGAAATGAAGCAATTGTGTGCTTCCTATATGTGTCGAGATAAGAAAAGAATGATCTAATTATTAATAGTGAAGAAAGAAAGTGCACGTAAGACTTCGATAAATGAAATTTTCAAAGAAAAGAAGATTATTTTAGAAAATTCATAAAAGAATTAGGTTACATCTTCTTTTAATATTATAAAATGCTTTTAAAAGTATATAAAATAAATTTTGATATAAAATAATCTTTTATTATTCACAATTGATTGAATATGAGATTTTACACACGTATACACATATACCGCGGTATTATTAAATTTTTATAAAGATTGTAATATTCATTTAAATATTATTATTTAATAAAGTTGAATTTCATATCAAAAATGTTTCCCGGTCTCTTTTGGTATTATAAATAAAATATTTTCTCAAGGAATTAAAATAAAAATTATTCCTTTACTCTTATTGAAAGTATAATTATTCATTAGGCTTTATAGTTTTATAAAATTAATATACTTCAGACTCATAATTTTACATGATTGAATTCCTTGAAAATTAACTACTAAAAAATAATATATAACATTATTCACCTTTTTAAAGCAAAAAACAAGTAGTAAGAAGCAATTTTATCCAGATAAAATATTTAAATAGCTTGGACAATATTAACATTTCTCCGCTTATTAAAAATGCAAAAACTATTATGTGCAATAAAAACGCAGTAACTTCTTTTATTTTGAATAAATTTTCCGTCAAATAATAAAATTTTCGCTCAACTAACTTGATTGTTTAGAAAAATATTTCATTCTTTTGAAAAATATCATTTATATATAAAGATTGGTTACATTTTGATAAGGGTTAAATAAAGAAGAAATTGGAAAAAAATTTAATTCTTTACATAAGGATTTCATTATAGTAGAGGTTCTCAAACAAAGGAGTGTTTACCGGCGGCTTTGATCCGTTGGATGGTTTACTCTCCAAATAAAGTCATTGTGATCAAAAAATTAACTTTTCAATTTCTTATTTAATAGAAAAAGAATTTCTTATCAAAACACAATTGCGTTTCAATATTTTTTTTTAAATTTTCAAAAATTTAAAATTCAAAACTTTTTGAAATTCAACAACTTATAAGAATATTATTATACAACATAAAAAAATAGTTCACTCCGAGTTTTCGATTTGGAGTGATTGATTTCTTCATTTTTTTTTTTTAATATTAAAGATGAAAGAGTGATAAAATTATAATTTTATATTATAAGATTATTGTTACTTTCAATAATACATTGTTACTCTAACTTCTTTAAAATTATTTTTATCATTTCTATTCAATTATTATTTTCTGGAACTTTTAATTGAAATTCAAATTCAAATCAATTTTACGAATTTTAACAAAAATTTGTATAAATAATTACATTTTTCGAGGCATTAGATTAAAATTGTATTAAAAATAATTGAAATCCTGCGATTAGTTTTATTATTTATGAAAATAATTCAATTCCTAAAAAGAATTTTTTAATGAAAATAATTGAATCCCTGTAAAAATATTTATTATTTATGAAAATAATTGAATTATTGCGAAGAAATTTATAAAAAATTCGTAAATAATTGAATTCCTGTGAAACTTGTATTATTTATGAAAATAATTATTTGCTTAGAATTGTACGAACAGTTTTTTTTAAATAATTGAAAATAATTGAATTTCGGAAAATAATTTTATTATTTATAAAGATAATTGCCATTTATGATAATTCTTAAAAATTTTTTAACATAATTAAATTTTTGCGAAGGATTTTATTACTTTTGAAAATAATTGAAGATCCTTGAGAACATTCAAATTCATTATTTTATAATTCAATTTTACGAAATTTCGATTATTTGTCAATTTCTCAATGAAATATATAATAGAAAATAAAAACTCCAAATATTCAAAAAAAATTCAATTAACCTTTTTCAAAAAAATTAATTCTACAGAATTATTAGTTGAAATTATGAAAAATTCAGATTTTCAAAGATTTTGATTTAAAAACCGTTTCAAATTTTAAATAATTCTAAAAATGGATGCTATAATGCATTCATTATTTATATTATTATTTAAATTATTATCTATAAACTTTTACCTGACATTTATTTTTAAATTCATTTTTATTAGAAAATTCTACCAGAATTGAATTATTTAAATAAAATTAAAATAAATAATTCATTGAATAATTAAATGTTTCGTTAAATTTAATTCTCTTAAAGAATTATATCAATACATTTTTAAATATGTGAATTTCTTTCGACGTATTTAAATAAAATTTTCAAGAAGAATTAAATTTCTCGAGGAATTCGATAAAAATTGTAGGTATTAAAAATAATTTAAATCCTGCGATTATTTTTATTATTTATTAAAATAATTGAATTATTGCGAAAAAATTTATATATTATTTAAGAAAATAATTAAATGTTTGCGTAGAATTTTATTAAATTTTTAAAAAAAATAATTCCATTCTTATTTGAAAAATTTTTGAAAATAATTGAAATTTTGCCGCAATAATATTAACATTTTTTAAAGTATATTTGAATTTCTTAAAAAGAGTTTTATTATTTATGCAAATAATTGAATTTCTATAAAAATTTTATTTTTTATGAAAGTAATTATTAATTAAATGTTTGCGTAGAATTTTATTAAAAATTTTTTTTTTTAAATAATTGACTTTTTTTGGAAAATTTTTTATTAAAATATTACTAAACAATGAAAATCATTGAATTGAGGAAAATTTTTGGGAAAAATAATTTAAATTTTGACAAGAATTGTATTAAAATTTTTGATTTTCATTTTAATTCGACTATAGAATTGTCCTTTTTTGCCAAATCATAACTGAGAAGGCAGAGGATCAAATTTTTAAATCTACTTTTAAATTTTAGAATATTCCGCTATTCAATAATTTTGGTTTTAAGATGTATTTTCAGATTATTGTTTTTTTCTAGAAATACTGGAAAACAGTATTTTTTTTTTTTTGCTAAAAATAAATTTATAGTGTTTAAAAATATTTATTTTACATAAAAAGATTGAAGAAATGAAAATATTCTGTAGAATATTTTTCATTTTTTAAATTTGTTTTTTTAAAAACTGTTTTTTTATTGGTTTTTTAAAATTATTTTTTTAAATTTGTTTTTATAATTGTTTTTCAAATTTTGTTTTAGCCAATTCTCTTTTTTCGAAATGTATAAAAATGTATTTATGAAAGATGAAAGAATTTCCAATTAACAAAAAATTGTTTATAGTAATAGTTATGCGCTACTCGGTATTTGAAAAATTAAAAAAAATATATAATATTTTACGCTGAAAATTGTAAAATATTAGATTATATATCATGTCCCTATTTTCAACCACAGGGCTTTCAGGCAAGCTTTTAATATCGCTTAAATCCAGTGTAGCCTGGAGGCGTTGTTTGACATGGTCGGCAAAGCAGAAACCGCAAAAGATCCTATCCTCTCACTCTTGAGCCTCAGGGCTCGCTTTCTATATTTTATTAAGAGCCCTTTACTTCAGACAGAGACATTTTTCTTGCCATGAAAATTCTCAGGCCAATCGAGAGTCATCCCACTTTATGCGAAAATGAGAGAGATGCTTGTGGTTTTGGTGTCGTGGTCGCGAAACGGACATCCAGGCTACTAGTCTCGTCAGAGCAGGCAGAGTTAGAAACTTGACTGTGTTTTGAAAAGAGAATTGTAGGAGGAAATAGGGGTGGGGGGTGGGGAGAACGACGACTGGTGACACGAAGAGGAGATTCCGAGAAGAGAACTTGCGGAGCGCATGCGCCCCACCGATCGATGTCTTACTGGTATAAAGCTCACTCACTCGCCGTACGTCCGTTAGTTTGGCGAACGCATCTGGAAGATGCACCGTGTCGCGATAGGCACATTCTCAGCGCCTGTCGTCTGCTCGGTCACCGGCATCAACATTTCTCCAGACTCTCATTTCTCGCGCCATCGGCGTCGCTTACAACAACCGCAGGCACTTCCGTTCTCCTCACTTTTTGTCTTTTCAATTATAAAAATACCCGACAGAAACTAAATTATTTCCTCTTTTTCAATTCAAAAATAATCCAATTTTTTTCCAATCGGGATTGTAGTGTTCAAGTGAGTGCAACTGTTTCTGTTTTTTCCCCCTACAATTTCTATAGGTTTATTAATTAAAATTATAAGTTAATTTATAATTAAAATATATAATTAAAAGGATTTAATTTGAAGAGCGAATAGAGAAGAGGAGCGATTATTTCCCGCTTTGCTGGTTCGATAAGGACAATAAAAGAAGAAGATTTTATCAATCATACAACAATCAACTGAAAACGATTCTCCTACAATTCACCATATCTTGAAAATTAGAAACTACGTTAATTACAGAAGAGGAAAATTTCTTTATTTCAAACACTTTTCTCGAAAATACTGGTTTTGCAGTAAAAAAAATATACAGCATAAGAGGATTGAAAATTTATAGCAGGCATTAGCAATCAATCATAAATCCCATTTTATGTGGTGGGGCTATTTTATACAAATCTGCGAGGAATATTCGGTAGATAGCTGATGGGAAATGGCAATAAAAAGTGATTAAGGGACTATTAGGAAAGCTTATGGTCATTTAGGCGCACGACAGTTATCACACATGATATACAATCATAGGGGCACTAATCTCTACTAAGAATATCAAAAGTCGTGATTTACCGACGAAAAAAAAGGACGTGATCGCAATTCGGAAAATTAAAGTCGAAGGGAGAAGGAAGAAGAAGAAGAGACAGAAAAAAGTATCGACGAAAAATTCAATTAGTACGAATATTTGTTCCTAATCCGAAATTGATCGAAGATTGAAAGAATAAAACAAAGTACGATCAAAGCAACATTAACGAAGAAGAAAAAAAGAAATATTATCAAAAGAAGAAGAAGAAGAAGAAGAAGAAGAGTCACTTCTGCAAAAAAGAAGTTGACATTTTCTGGAAGAGTCGCAAAAATCGGTTAAAACTGGAAGGGGAAAATCAGAAAACCCTATTTACAATAACCAAACAAAAAGTGTTCACCGTGGAAAAATTGAGTGATTTTTGTTTGGATTGGAAAGTGGTGATCTCCAAAATCGCGAAACCGTGTTGGTGTCGTTGGGCTGAGACTCGGGTCGGTAACCGAACGGGGAAGCCCGTAAGATCCGCGAAGGTTGTGCAACAAGTTAGGAGAGGGTTGCCTCCACCACCGCGATGTGATATGGATATCCTAGCAGTAGCCTGCGCTCTTGTAGCGACGGCCCTGTACTTCAACACTCTCTACGCAGGATTCGTTTACGACGATCGGTGAGTGTATCTTCTCATTTATGCGAAACGACTGATGATGACTATTCGCTCTCTTGAAAACCACTTCAAAATCCCACTACTACTACTACTACTACTACTACTACTACTACCACCACTACCTTCTACTACTATTACACTAAAAAGCTCGCTCAAAAAGCTAGCAAAAAAGTGTACTTCACTCTTGAAAATATGAACCAACCGGTTAGAGATAAGTAAAGCTCAGTATTTTATTACCGCTGGCATTTGCAGTTCATAAATTTTCCAAGAGCCAGAGGTGAAAATTGCATTCGACTTTATCTCCAGACCAAGCCAATGGTGGGACTTGGCTCACTGTGTTTCATCTCTTTGCAAATTTACCTAATGGATAATTAAAGACTTGTCTCTCTCTCCACTATGGCAGTATCAGTTTAATGAAATCCCATCTCACTTCTTTCTTTTTTTTTCATTGTCACAATTTAGTTTTTTAATTATTCTAAGTGAATTTTCAACAATTTGCCACTCTTTGGATTATTAGTGTATAATACCGTCAGATAAGGGATTTTTAATCACTATTTTATTTTAGTTCTAGTGCGCTGTGCCGAGGTGCAAATTAATCTAAACTACAATGGAAACAAACAAATTATTTGTTGCCCCTGTTAAAAATAAGGGAAAATGTGTTTAAATTGGTCACCTTTTGATATTATTCTTTCATTTAAAATTAAATTATTAAATATTAATAGCTAAATACTAACTATATTGTTGCGTTATTAAAGATTAAACCAATATTTTTTCTTGTAGTTCCTGATGAACTGTGTTAGACAACGAAATGGCATTTGAGAAAACATTTTCAATAAAATTATCTTTTAACTAAAGAAACCTACACCTTACTTTTACGGACCAAAAGCCACAAATATTTACAGATTCTGAGTTCTTAACTTTTGTTTAGAATTTAGAAGTAGTGAAAATTGGTGTTCGTCAGGAAAAACATTTTTTACATTTATAACAAGTAGTAAAGATCTATTTTGTTCAGACTAAACATTTTCACATCAAAATACTACGTAACAAGTAGTAAAGGTCAATTTTGGTCAGTCTAAATATTTACAGTTTTTAGTTTACTCAGAAAATATAATTTTTAACTTATTGATAGTATAAAAATATTTAGTTTTTGAGTTATCAGTAGTAAAGATTAATTTTGGTCAGACGAAGTATTAAAAGAACTAAGATTAATCAACAAATAAAAGTTTATTCTATTCATAATTTCAAAACATATTTTATTTGGAAATTATAAGTTGTAAATATCAATGTTGGTCAGCCAACGCATTTTAAAGTCTTTTTTTTTAATTAGTAGTAAAATTTTAATTCAATCAAACTGACAAAGAATAAAAGTTGTAAAAATCAGTTTTCGTCAGACAAAGCACATTTAAGGTGATTATAAGTAGTAAAAGTCGATTTTAATCAGACTTAACATTTACTGGTCGTGAATTTTAATTTTTGCATTAAATGGACAAGTGGTAAAAAACGATTTTAGTCAGACAAAACATTTACAAGTCAGTGAAAAATAATTTGTGTTTAATTTCTGAAATCTTATTTGTAAAAGTAGTGAAAATCGAGTTTGGTCAGACAAAACATTTTTACATTGATTACGAGTAGTAACGGTAGATTTTATAGTCATCAGTCAAATTCCGTTAAAAAATTTTTCAATCAATCAAAAGTAAAGAGAAGGTAGCAAGTACACACAAAAAAACCTTTTACCATGTAACGAAAAATATTTATATTTCTGTTGAAAAGTAAATATTCTGTTTACATTTTAACGCTAATAAATAAAATAATTAATTGTAAATTTTAATTTCACATATTTGCTAATGCAATTAAAATTAAAATACAAAATTTAAATTATAAATTTAAATGAAAACTCTCTTTAAATTCAATGCGAAAAGTAGGATATTACGTCTGACTAAAAATTGTTTCTACTACTTAATTTAGAAAAATATAAAAAAACGTATAAGACGTCTGACTAAAACTTGTTTTTACTAGTTAATTTAGAAACATACAGAAAACAGGATATTACGTCTGACTAAAATTTGTTTTTACTATTTAATTTTTAAAAATACAAAAAAGAAGGTACTAAGTCTGACTAAAACTTGTTTTTACTACTTATTTTGTAAAAATACGAAAAATATTATATTAAAGCTGACTAAAAATTGTTTCTACTACACTTAGTATTTAATGTAGAAAAACACAAAAACAACAGAATATTATGACTTAAAATTTGTTTTTACTACTTAATTCAGGGAAATGCTAAAAGTAGGATATTACATCTGACTAAAATTTGTTTTACTAATTAATTTAGAAAAATTAGAAGTATTAAGTATTTCGTCGGACTAAAACATGTTTCTACTACTTAATTTAGAAAAATACGAAAAATAGAATATGACGTCTGACTGAAACTTATTTTTACTACTTAATTTAGAAACATACAGAAAACAGTATATTACGTCTGACTAAAATTTGTTTTTACTATTTAATTAAAAAAAAAATAAGAAAAATAGTGTACCCAATCTGACTAAAACTTGTTTTTACTACTTATTTTGTAAAAATATGAAAAATATGATATTAAGGCTGACTAAAAATTGTTTTACTACTTAGCATTTAATTTAGAAGAACACAAAAACAATAGGATATTACGTCTGACAAATAATTGTTTTTACTACTTACTTTAGAAAAATACGAAAAATCGGATATTAAGTCTGACTAAAATTTGATTTTATTACTTAATTAAGAAAAATAAGAAGTATTGAATATTATGTCAGACTAAAACTTGCTTTTACTACTTAATTTAGAAAACTACGAAAAATAGAATATTACGTCTGACAAATTTATTTTTACTACTTAATTTAGGAAATTGTTAAAAATTGAATATGGCGTCTGACTAAAACTTGCTTTTACTACTTAATTTAGAAAAATACAGAAAACAGGATGTTACGTCTGACTAAAACTTGCTTTTACTACTTAGTATATTTAATGTAGAAAAATACAAAAGCACTATATAATTAAATTTAACTAATCATTATAGTTATTATCGACTATTTCGTTGCTATATAGCCTTTTCGCTGTTAATGTTTCATTTTCATAATTGTCAATTATATTTTAATTTAATTCTACATCAAGATGTTCTTGGTATTGATTAATATGTTTGTGACAATGATACCAGGATCATTAGTCGTATCTCAATTTCCATAATGATCTTGTATCTGCCCTAATAATGTTATAATGGTAATATCATGGTCATTATAAAGCCAATATAAATTTTTTTATTTAATAATAGAACAGTTGAATCACATATAGTACTGATAGTATATAAATATAGTCTCGATAGTATATAAATATTTTTTCTTTACCATCTGTATATTAATATTATTTGCACTCACAGTTTTCTTGATAGTATCAGATTTTAACTTGTATACAATTTTATTTCTGTTAATCAAATTAATACCAAAAATTTCGATCAGATTTTAAATTTGATTCACATTTTTAGTAAAATTAAAATTTAAAAAAATTAAAATTAATATTTTTATAAATTTTTTGTAACTTGATTGATACAATATGTAAATGATTTGATACTATTTTTTGTATAAAAATTATTTCTAATAATCAAAGAATTGGTATGAAAACTACATATAGTTCAACTAAGTGTAATGCTACGCACCAGTTCGCTGTCAGAATACCACAATCATTGTAATGATAACACAATTATAATAATGATACTAAAATCATTGTAGTAATGATATCACAATTATACTAATGATGCCACAAACATTACAATGACACTTTAACTAATGCAATGATGCGTCAATTGTAATGATACCGAAATATCTACTGCAGTCATTATAATGATGTAGATGAACATCGCAATAAAACCGCAACAATTGAAATGTCATAAAAAATGTTTTAATGACGCCAAAATTATGAGGACAACTATTCCATATATAGTGATAATAAATTTATAGTCTTATTACCGAAACAAAATTCAACGTTTCCCTACATTTTTAATGACGATACCGATTAATTATAATCTGCCGCATTTTTTTATCACATCACCGATATTGTGATTTTAATTAAATTATTTTTATCCTACATTATAGTCACTACTCTTAATATTTAATATTTTATTTATTTACTTATTAATATTTTATTTATTAATATTTTATTATTTTCTCAATTAGAATTATAATTAATCGTAATATAAATTCCCTAAATTTGATTAGAAAAAAAAACACCAAGAAGGAGTTTTTCGTTCTGACTCTCGACATTCATTAACTTTAATGATCCAAAGTCCTCTATATCAGATTTAATTAGCTGCTAAGATGTTGGTTTGAGGCATAACTTGAGATGCTATATCAATAGTGTACCTAACTTAATCTGCTACAAGATACTAGTAACCGCGTTATATCAAATTGATACTTGAATTGATCAGAAATCCACTTGTTAAGATATTATTGATTGACACACAACTGTGTGGCTTAATCAGAAATTGAGGGTCCATTCATTTCTATGCGCGTAAATTTGATTAAACAAATATTTTGTAATTGATCATTTAATTGAATTCGTACTTTAATTGAAGCACTTCAATGATATAAATTTGATTACAACAAATTAAAATCATGTAAAAGGTATATATCAATTTACGCACTATCAATATTTTTTTTTTGGTTAAAAAAAAATGCAAATATTTAAAAAAGGCAATATTTTTTCGAAAAAAATGAGTCCATGAAAGAACTGAAATAAAATCCATCTGTATAACAAATTTTTCGTTTATCTAGTAATTAAATATCGAAAAAAGTAATAATTGAATTAAATTAAAATAATAAAAAAAGTTAATTTTTAAAAAATTTGTTTTCATTTTTCAATAAACTATTAAAAAGAGGTGCGTAAAAGTAATTAAATTCTTTTTTTGGAAAATATTTTTCAACTCCCAATCATCTCTTGTATGTATACATATATATACATGCAAGGTAGTATTG